GCCTCGGAATCGGCACTCCACGTCGCGGCGTTGCGGGCTTGGTCCACTGGGCCGCGCGACATCTCCAAAGCATCATGGGGCTCGGGGCAAAGAGGCCGTTGGAAGGAAGTTTTCAAGTGATTCGAAAATCTTTTAATCGCTTGCGAGGAAAGGTCAATGGCATCATAGGTTATTGTGTGCCAGTGATACATTCGATGATGGACTGGGGGTGGGGGGGCTGGTCATGGAATCACCCGTTGATGACTGGCGCTAGCCCGACACTCCCACAGCGCGACCGCGCAGTCCCAACGAAACTTGGTAGGAAACGACAGGGAGCAATAACGGAGCTAGAATGGAGCAGGAAAGAAGCTACACATACATGAGACTCGCGTCCCCGAGACCAGAATCCTTTGTGAACTGCTCAATGCTCGCGTCCCCGAGGCCACGAACCCTCGTGAATCAAGCACTCGGTGCGCCCCCGACGAAGCAAACCCATGTAAATTACACTAGACCCTCGCCCCCAGAGCCATAAACCTTCCCATATGGCTCCGCATTCGCATTGCCGATGCCAAGAGTGCCCCAAGGAGCCCGAAGATGGTTCCAACGCGGCCCAAGAAGGCCCCAAAAACGCCAGTTGAGGCCTCCACAAAGAGCCCCAAGAACCCAAAATCGCAGAACGTTCAAACGTGGTTGAAAGAGTTTGGCCTTCTCGCATGTTCGGCTTTCCGGCGCTCCAAGACGGCTCATGGAGCTCCCGACACCGCCCCAACAGAGCCCAAAACGCAACCAAAAGGGCCCCCATGACGGCCCAAGAGGGCTCCAAGATGGACCAAGGAACGCCCAAGACGGCCCAGGAGGGCCCCGAAACGGCCCAGAGAAGGGCCCAGGCACTACCCCACGAGGCCCCAAGAGGCCCCCACGGGGCGCCCACTCCAATGTCAAAAAACCTGTTCGGGGCCACCCAAAATACCCCTACGCGCACACAGGAAGCATCAGACCCGCAACTCGAGCGAGGTGGCGGGATGGGCCGAAAACCACTGGGATAAAGACAGCATCTCAATATGCGCTGATGGCCCCCGCGCGATGTCCCCAGGCGCGCCGAGGCAGCGACGAGACGCGCCGAGGAACGAAACGGTAGCGGCGCAGGAATGGAGTCATAATGGAGCAATCGCGCAGCAACCATGCAGCGATACCGGGGCAGGGGTGGGACGATAATGCAGCAATCATAAAGCGCTGGCAGACTGTGATATATGATCCCACTGTTGGGATCAACGGCGTAGAACCAAATCGATTGAAAAGGAGTGCACGGCGAGCCCGAGAGATGTCACACATGTTAGAACGGAAGTGAAAGAAGAGTAGTATGGGGACACGAATGCATGCATGGACTGGACGAGCACTTGCACGATTACCAACCGATCAACACTTACTACTTCCCATCGCATGCTAAAGCCAACGGATGCGCAACGCGCGAGTTGAAACTTCAAACGAAGCCGCCTAAACCACGACAGTAAACATCAAAGAAAAAGGGAATGGTTTATTGAATGGACGGGACATGGCTAGCGATGGGAGCGTTCGCTCTGGATTTGCCGACGAAGGGCGCTGAGGAAGAAGTCAAATTTGACGGATTGATTCGCTCGTCGAACAGCTAGCCACTTGTTTGATATAGCGCCAAACTCGCCCACGAAGCATGAGCGGCAGGACCGAGGAGTTGCTTCGCACTCAATCTCTGCAAACCACAGAAACATCATGGATATATATACATATATACACACGAAAGTCGCGTCATGGGACTTTGGCAGCGGTTGCCTTTTTTTGCAAGTCTTAACGGCAATTTGAAATGCGCCCCTCGCGTTGCCCAACATGAAACGAACTGCGCGCAGGAGGCCAACTTTTTGAATGAAGCCCAAATGTTTGTTCAAGGACGCCACAGGTGCGCGTCTGATCACTCGGCCAAGTTTCGTCCAACTGCTAACGCATTCCGAAAAGATGCCGGGCCATTCGACATGGCCATTCTGGCAATCCAACCTTCGCCGCCACTGCAATCCGCTGGTTGGAAACGAACAAATTCCCTGCAGCGAACTACGCTGGGCAGATTGCCGCGGCAGCAGTCGCGACTGGGGGCGCGAGGACGCGCCGCGCCTGGCAGGGAGCAACAACAAACGAAATCGGCGTAATCATGAGCAAGACTCCAGTCGCTCACGCCCACGGGTGCACGAGTTCAACATTAGGAATGGTTTGTCTGCAGCGGAAATGGTCAGCCAAAACCGCACTGCATCGCCTCCAAGTAACGCGGCATCGCGCGCGCGGCTCTGATTCGCGCCCGCGCGGGAACGAGGGTGCATCTTGTTTGTCGCCTTCAAGGCGCATGCCCTCCATCGGTATGCTAGAGAATGGAAAAGCGCTGCATTCCTCCCCCTGCGCCCGACACGCTGACAACTATTTCATTGAACTGCCGCCGACTGGTTTCCGCGTGGCCCCATCCAGGTCCCGACGCAGCATGCGCGAGATTCTGCTCATATTGTTGCTCCTTCGCCTCCAGATCCACATGGGGCAGCTCCTTCTCGTCGCCCTCCTCCACGGGTGCGCTGTGAATCTTTGAGGGTCGAACAAGAAGAACACTCCCAAGTAACTATTGCCCACTGGGGCCGAGAGAACATGGCAAACATTGTTAGCGATGAAGGGCGGGGCGGCCTCGGCCCATCATCTTGTCTTCTCCAGATGGCGGGGACAATCGACAAGTGCTGGATCGCGGGCCACGCTTGCACGGCAGTGCTAGACGGCGCCCACGCCGCGCCCCTGTCGTCTCCAAAGGGCGCCACTGCCAGCGAGCTTCCACCAAATGTCCGTATGACTCCAAATACAACAACGCACATGCAGCCCCCAGACCTCCACTGACCTCAAACGCGGGCCCCCGAGAGACGATTCGTTCGCAGTTGTTGCAAGCGCACGCGCGCGCGTGACACTCGCGCGCGAAGCGCCTGTGATCTGAGTGCAATTGCATCTGCATAGCCCGTGGGCGCGCCCGCGCATCCGCGAGATTCTCGCAGCCACCATGCGGAGAAGAAATCATCCCGAATGCTTTGAATGCGTCATCAGCTCGCTGTGACGCACGCCTTGACATTTGCACTGCCGCATAAACGCGTTGGTCTGGTTGTTCTCGCTCGGCGATTTGTCGCAGCGGATCGCTGTTCGAACTGAGCCCCGGCGCCCAAAACAACGCGCGCTCATCGTCGTCGGCATTCGCTCGAGACAAATGGGCGCCGTCCGCTGCCAAACAGAGCTCTGCGAAATCATCCTTCGCCTTGATGAGAATTTCAGCAGCGCGCCCCTTCTATTCGCAGCAAACCCTGCGCGAGCTATCGGATCGACGGGGGCGCCCCGGCGACCGGCGCCCGGCGCGTCGAGGACGAGGGCGCGTCCGCGGACGCAGACGAGCAGGACAAGGGCAAGGGGGGGGAAGTGGGCACGGCCGACGAGGCCGAGGGGCCCGAGAGAGACGACGACGCCGAGCACGAGCTCACGCGGGCCATGAAGGGCGCGCCCCCGAAGCCCGCGGCCGCCAGGGCGAAGCCCGCGGCCGCCGAGCTCGAGGCGAAGCCCGCGACCGCCGAGCTTCCGAAAGCGAAGCCCGCGGCCGCCGACCCCGGCAAATTCGCGGACGAGAAAGGCCGCGCGTTCGACTACTATACCGAGCAGTTCGACAGCGCGATGTACTGCAAGAAGAGCCACTCCGTGGGGCACCGCGCGAAGGGCGGCTCGCAGCTCATCTCCTTCGGGACGGCGCGCTGCACGGCCAGCAAGGAGTAGCTCCTGGAAATCGGCCGCCAGGTGAAGGAGAAGCCCAACGCGGGAAAGGCAGGCGCTGCAAAGGGCGAGTGGGCATGCGTTATCCAAACTAGTATTCGAGTAGGCGCGACTCTTGCCATTCGCGGTGGGTTAGTGCAGGGCGGCAATAGGATGGATGAAGATTGCGCGCCGCTTGCCGCTCGGCGCAGAAAACCAGATGGGGGGGGGCAGGGGGCGGGGGAGGGGGGGTGGGGCCCCTCGGCCAAGAGGCCCCATGTTGGAAAGTGCAGAATAGGGGCGACGTGGGGGCGCGCCGTAGCCGTCCCAGCTCAGCCCGCGCACCCGCGAGCGCCATGGCGACTCGTTGCGACCTCTGCGGATCGGCGTTGTCAGTTTGGCGCGGTTGGGAATGGGCGATGCAAGGGGGGTTCTTTGCGTGGCCGACGCGGACATGCGGGAAGGGGTGGCGGCACCGCTGCCGCTGGAACTGCCGGCCCGCACCTCGTCGCCGAAAGTGAAGGGCACGTCGGCCGCGGCTGCTGGCGCGACGAGCTGGGCAGGCCCCTCCTTCTTCCTTCGCAGAAAAAATGAAAAACGCAAGCGCAAACACGAAAAACTGTTCCTTCCCGGAGAACCGCGAGATCAGCCGCCGCGCCGCCTGGACTGCAGAAGCGAGGCGCCCCCAGCTCGAGCCCCGCCGTGAACTCAAGCGGCACAAGGTCGACCTGCAGCATCTGAAGGATTCTGAGCCTGAGCTCTCCGCTAAGCGACTAAACCGCGTCGCGCTGCCATCTTTTCAGAGATAAGGGCAGCGACGAGGATGCGGGGGCGGAGCGGGGGAGCTATCGGAAGACCAAGGGGTACACGGGGGCCCCTCGGCCACGGGGCCCCCATGGGGTGGGGAGGGAGGGGGGGGGGGGGGGGGGGAAGGGGAAGGGGGGGGCAAAGGTGGGGAAGGGGGGGAGGGAGGCTTGGAAGGCTTAAAATCACGGGGGCACCTGGTAGGCTTTGCGAGAGACAGGGGGGGGGGGGAGGGGGGGGGGGGGGGGGGGGGTGGAGGGGGGAAGGGGGGGGGGGGGGGGGGGGGGGGGGGGGGGGGGGGGGGTAGCAAGGGGGGTGGGGGGGGGGGGGCGGGGGTTCTCTCCGCGTCGCCGCGCGCCCCTCAGCTTTTCAGCTGCGGCGCGCCCGCCCTCCGGCCCCCATCGACGCGGCCCGCCCAGAGCCCGACTGCAGCGATGGGTCGGGCCCAAGTGCTCTGCGGCGCCTTCGGCGCCTTGTGGCTCCGCTGGCTGCTGGGCGGCAACGTGGTGCAGGTGCTTTTCTTCCGCGACCCTTCAATTTTTTTTAATATTTCAAAAATACCGGGTGGCGACGGCGCCCAGACCTGCGGCGAAGGCTGCAGCGGCGGCGGCCCTGGGCGGAGGGCCCCGCCCACCTACGCAGCCGCCTCGCCAGCGCATGCTCACATTGGCCGGCCAGGAGGGGGTGCCAGACCCAGAGCTCGGCTGCGCGCCAGGTGAAGACGTCGATCTCATGATCCGAGAGGCCACCGAGAGCCCCAACGGCCAGGAAATGGACGCAGAGGCCCCCGAGGAACCCGAGGTCGTCGAGGCGGCCGAGGACTGCAACGCCTCGGCCGATGCCCCCGAGGGCGAGGGCGAGGCCCCGCCCGATCACGCCGAGGCCCCCGCGGGCGAGGGCCAGGCCGAGGCTCCCGAGGGCGAGAGCGAGGCCGAGGCCCCCGAAGGCGAAGTCGCCCAGCCCGACTTTGACCCCTGTCAGCGACACCCCGCCGCGCGAGCCCCACCTGCGCCTGCCGATGGAGGGGCTCGCGCCTCCGTGGGTCGAGCTCAGGCCCTGGTGGAGGGTCATCTACAAGGCCTCCGAAGGGAGTTACTGCTGGGCGTACACCCAGCCGCCGCCCTTTGGCATAAGGATGCGCGAGGTCCTCCAGGGCGAGATCTTCGGCCCGATCCTCGAAGTCGGCCAGAACTGGCTGTGGGGGCCTCCACGGCAAGGCCGCGCGGGCTTCTGGCGCGGCATCGTCGCGGCGACCATGCGCGGCCCGCCGCGCGGGCCCTTCTTCGAATTCGCGAACCTCTGGGGCACGCGGGCGCCACCCGGCACGTTGACTCCACGCTGGTTCGCGGAGCCCTGGGCGCCCCCAGGCGCAGGCCATGGCGGAAGCCCACTGACAGGGCTGCCGCCAGCAGGCGAAGGTGGGCAGCCACCTGAAGAAGGCGGCGGCGAATGGAGCGCGCATCTCGAGGACGAGGGGGATGTGATCGACGTGCCCTCCGAGATGGAGCTCGCGTTCCTGGACGGCCAGCCGATGGCCCGGCCCGAGGACTCGGCCCCCCGCGCGCACTGGGCCTCTACGATAGGCGGCGCTGCTGGAACACGATGCATCGCCGAGGCCTGAAGCCGCGAGATTTCAGCTTCTGCGGCAGGCGCAACATGTACTTCTGCGGCAGCAACTGCGTCGGCATCGCCTGCCTCAAGGCGCGCAAAGAGAACGCTGAGGCGCGCGCGCCCCGCCCGCCTGGCCAGCAGCAGCCCGCGAAGAGGAAACGCACGGGCGACCAGACCTCGCGCCAGGCCTGGATGGGGGAGATCCTGGCACGGAAAAAATCAATTGACGCGATGGCGGTGGGCGCAGAGGAGCGGGGCCAGGCAGAGCGCAACTCCAATGCGGCCGAGGCCCGGTAGACCCTCCAAGAGCGCCGAGAGAGGCAAAGACAAAAGAAGAGGACCGCTAAAGGAGACAGAGTAGCAGATCATGGACCCTGAGAACGAGACCTGGGGCGCCCAGGGGCCCGGCGTCTGCCCCAGAGGCCGGCGCCTAAGACGCCCCCGAAAAAGGCGAAAGGTGCCCCGCTGAAGAACAAGCTGGCGCCGAAGGCGCCTCATGAGCTGCCTGCGCCCCGATCGCGCACGCCCTGGCCGAGGAGGCTTCAACCTCCCGCAGCGCTGCCCCCCCCCGCCCCCAAAGCAGAGCCGCGGCCACCGCCAGACCGAACCAAGCCGCGGGCAGCCCGCTCGCAAGCAGCAGGTTCGAAGAGGACCGAGGAAGAGAAAGCGGCGCTCATCCACGAGAGGAAGATGGAGAGGGCGAAGCTGGCAGCGCAGAACGACAGTAAGGGCGACGAGGCACAGCATCTGCAGGAGCGCCTCGAGCAGGTGAAAGCCGCGGCCGACGCGGCGCAGGCTTCGCGGGGCGCACACCGAAGAAACCATCAGCGATGAAAGAGCACGCCCATTCAGGAGGAACGCGGCACCGTGGCGAGCGCCTCGGCCAAGGCGCTCGCCAGGGCGTCGCATGTGATATCCTGAATGAGATGTAGCTTCCACGCGAAATGATTGCATCGCCCGCGCGCTCCCATAGGAAGACATCGCGGTGGCGCTCCAGCAGCAGACGCAGGCCCAGGCGGACCTTTTGCAGATTCAAACGGACGCTGCGGACGCACGAGGCCTAAGATGATATCGCCCACGTTGAAGCTGCCCGGAAGCGGAGCGAAAGCTGAGAATTGCGCGCAGGGCTCTCCACGAGGCCTACGAGAATCTCGCGGCACTGCAATCAAAACAGACTCGACCGCCGCAGACGCAGCAGGTCCAGCAACAGCCGCAGCCGCACCAGGTGCAGCAGGACTGGGCGTCGCAGGGGCACGAGGCCTGGCTGCAGCAACAGGAGCACCAGCAGCAGCAAACCTACAACTGGCAGGCTCATCAGCAACCCGTGACGGCGGGTGGCGGCGCAAGGTCAAGCGCAATGGCACCAGCCGGCTACCAAGCGGCGCAGGAGACGCAGCGGCCGCAGTAAGCCTACGGGGCCCACGCGGGTGGCCCAGCATGCCTCCAGGCGCGCCCGCGGGAGCCGCCGCCGCAGCAGCCGCGGCAGATCCAGCAAGGCCCGCAGCAGATCTGGCAACCGCAGCAGATCCAGCCACAGCCGCTGCAGCAGACCCAGCAGCAAGGAGCGATCCGGCAGCAGCAGCAGCAGTACGCTCCAGCACAATGGGAACTGCGGCATCTGCAGCAGACCCAGCTCCAGCAGGAACTGATGCAGCGCCAGCAGGAGGGGGCGCGGAGGCTCGAGCAGCAGCTGGATCAGCTTCAGCGCCAGCAACAGCAGCAGGCGCTGCACGGGCCGCTGCCTCCAACGCAGCCGCCGCTGCAGCCGCTGCCGCAGGCGCCGCAGCAGCAGGCGCATCAGCCGCCCCCGTGGCACGCCCCGCCACAGCAGGCGCAGCAGCCGCCGACACTGCCGCAGCCTCTGGTTGAAGCGATGACCACGCTCCTGCTGCGCGCGTCCCCAGCGGCCAAAGGGGTGCCACCGCCGACGCCCGCGCCGTTTTGAGCGCGGGGCCTTTTCGCTCGGGCGCCCGGGGAGCCGCGTGCTACGCCGGCGCATTGAACCTGCCCGAGAAAGCGCGCGCGCTCCTGGGCGGAGGAGCTTCTGCGGCAGAGGCAGAGACTCCTGGGCGAAGGCAAATGGGAGGTAGGGGGGGGGGGAGGGTAGACAAAGGAAGATAGGGAGAGGAGGGAGGGAGGGAGGTAGAGAGGGGAAGGAGGGAAAGGGGGGAGGGGGAGGGGGGGGGGGGGGCGTGGAGGGAGGGGGAAGGAGGAGGGGGGAGGGTGGCGAGGGAGGCGCGGGAGAGGAGGGGGCCAGGCGGGGAGGGAGGGGAGGGCGCACCAAAAATAAAAGCAAAAACAATATTTTCGTAGTTTTCACGTGGGTCTCCAAGGCCCAACCAAACATGAAAAGTTTAGTTTTGGTCGTATGTGTTCTGGGCGCTTTTAATTGTAGACTACCCACAAAAACATACTTCCTAACAGCGAAGACTGATAGTCTGCTAGTGGGGTCAAACAGGAGCATCCTGATTCCCCAAGGGGGCTCTGGGCAGGATCCGGGGGATGCAGGGGGAAACCGGGGACTCCCCTATTTTGATTGCCAGGAGCTACATGTTGACTGCCCGGAGCCAACAGAACACCATTCCCAGGCGACATGTTGAATGCCCGGAGCCAACTGCAGGCGACTTCGCGTTCTTCGTGCTTCCAGAACACCATTCCCAGGCCACATGTTGAATGCCCGGAGCCAACTGTAGGCCACTTCGTGTTCTTCGTGTTCCCAGAACACCATTCCCAGGCCACGTTTTCAATGTCCGGAACCAACTGTAGGTCACTTCGGGTTCTTCGTGCTTCCTGAACACCAGTCCTGCGCCATATTTTGAATGCCCGGAGACAACTGTAAGCCACATCGTGTTCTTCGTGTTCTCAGAACACCAGTCCTGCACCATATGTTGATTGCCCGGAGCCAACTATTCGTGATCTTCGTGTTCCCAGAACACCAGTCCTGCGCCATATTTTGAATGCCCGAATGCCCGAGCCGAGGAAGGCCGAGGCCGAGCCAGGCTGAGGCCGAGGCAGGCTGAGGCTGAGGCTGAGGCTGAGGCACGCCGAGGCAGGCTGCGGCTGAGGCTGAGGCAGGCTAGGGCTGAGGCAGGCTGGGGCTGAGGCTGACGCAGGCTGAGGCCGAGGCAGGCTGAGGCTGAGGCCGATGCAGGCTGAAGCTGAAGCAGGCTGAGACTGAGGCTGGGGCACTGAGGCTGGTGCAGGCTGAGGCTGAGAGGCTGATGCTGAAGCTGAAGCAGGCTGAGGCTGAGGCTGAGGCCGAGGCAGGCTGAGGCTGAGGCTGAGGCAAGCCAAGCCGAGGCAGGCTGAGGCTGAGGCTGAAGCTGAGGCAGGCCGAGGCTGAGGCTGAGGCTGTGGCTGAGGCTGAGGCAAGCTGCGGCTGAGGCAGGCTGCGGCCGAGGCTGATGCAAGCTGAGGCTGAGGCAGGCTGAGGCTGAGGCAGAGGCAGGCTGAGGCTGAGGCTGAGGCAGACTGAGGTTGAGGCCGAGGCTGAGGCTGAGGCTGAGGCATGCTGAGGCTGAGACAGGCTGAGGCTGAGGGTGAGGCAGGCTGACGCTGAGGCAGGCTGAGGCTGAGGCTGAGGCAGGCTCAGGCCGAGACAAGCTGAGGCTGAGATGAGACTGAGGCTGAGGCTGGGGCTGAGGCAGGCCGAAGCTGAGACCAGGTGAAGCTGAAGGGGGAGGGGGGGGGGGGGGGGGGGGAAGGGGGGGGGGGGGGGGGGGGGGGGGGGCTGAAGCAGGCCCAGGCCGAGGCAGGCTGCAGGCCGAGGCAGGCTGAGGCTGAGGCTGAGGCAAGCCGAGGCAGGCCGAGGCTGAGGCTGAGGCTGAGGCAGGCCGGGGCTGAGGCAGGCTGAGGCCGAGGCTGACGTAGGCTGAGGCCGAGGCAGGCTGAGGCTGAGGCTTGGGCAAGCCGAGGGAGGCTGAGGCTGAGGCTGAAATTGAAGCAGGCTGAAGCATCCTTAGGAATCCCTAGGAAACCTGAAGGATCCGTAGGCATCCTTAGGAATCCGTAGGCATAGTTAAGCATCCTTAGGAATCCTTCGGGATCCTTAGGATTCCCAAGGAATCCTTAGGAATGCCTAGGAATCCATAGGATTCAGGATTCCTAAGGATTCCGAGGAGGTCCCCGAAGAATTTCAATGGATTCCTAAGGATGCCTGAGGATGCCTTAGGTATCCCTAGGAATCCTTAGGACCCCATTGGATCCTAAGGCCGTTGCCACTGCGACTGCCATTGCGGATGCGACTGCGACTGCGAGAACAGCAGACTTCTACACCTGGATTCTCACCTGAATATTAAAGGGAATGCTTCCATATGTGCTTAGACACATCGCTGTTCGGTTGCTTTGTCGGGATAAGTATATCTTAGTTATGTCGAGGTCTCAACAACCGCGCAACATACAATGAAATATGTTAGGTTACTTTGGCGCGCCCTACCCCTCCCTGATCCCCCCGCCCCTCCTCCCCTCTTCCCTCTCCCTCCCCCTCCCCCGCCACCCCGTCCCCCCCCCCCCCCCCCTTGCTTCATCTGCCCCTGCCCCCTGCCCCCCCCCCTTCCCTCCTCCTCTCTCCCCCCCCATCCCTCCGCCCTCCTCGCCCCTCCTCCTCCTTCGCGCCCTCGCTCAGGGGCCCCTCGGCTAAGGGGCCCCATGTCGTCTCCCCCAACGCTATCCGCGCGTGTCGCGCTGGTCTCCGCGCCATAAGCGCTTCGGCTCGAGTCCCGATTCGGTTCCAAACCTCAGGGGGCGCGGCGGCGCGGTGGCAGAGTTGCGCATCGCATTGGCTATTGCCGTTGGTTTCGCAGTGGGCACGCTGGCAGCGAAACGTCGCTGCGCGGGGGCGCAGGCGGCGAAGCCGCCGCCCGAGCGACCCGAGATTGCCGTGGTGCTGCCACCCCCAAACGCGTTCATGACCCCTACTTCGAAGACGGTGTACCACCTCTCCAAATAATGCCAGCGCATCGGGGATTACTCCACCATCGCGCGTGTTCGCAAGGACCGCCCGCGCGAGAAGGCGTGCGAGGACTTGCGCCAGCGCCAGAAGGCTGTGCGAGAGTGCGTCCGCCCGCTTCGTGAAGTGCGCACGTCGGTCCGGAATTTTGACTGAAGTACTTGCCGCGGGAAGGCGTCTCTTCCCCCCTCGTTCTCCCGCGTCGCTCCTCGTCGGAGAACCCTCGGCTTAGGGGTCTCCGCCGCCTCGACCTAGCCCCCCCCCATCCGCGCGGGGATCATTGTCGCGAGAACCCGCGAAGAGGTAATGCGCCGCGTCCGTTCCGTAGGCGTTTAGGCCCAGACACAACGATACATAGTGTTTCTCGCACGTCATATGTTGTCCAAGCGCGCCAAAACCTACGATCCCAGCCCAGAACCGGCACGTGAGGAATGCACGAGCAACGCGGGAGATCCCCTGACAAATAATGTCGTCAGCGGCGGGAGAGGCTCGGAACTGTTGAGCGATGCCGAAGCAGCTGGCGCTGCGGGCTTGCAGTTCGCCCACCGCAGCAGCAAAGGAAGCGCCGGGGCCGCCGCCACAAATGCAAGTCGGTTCATCAGAAATGTCTTCACCAAGCGCACGGCGTGGCCGCCAGAACACCGAGCGCAAATCCGCGCGAGGAAAAGGAGAGGTCAGCCCGGGGAGACGAAATCATGGATGTCTTTCCGTTTGCCGCGCGAGCTGCAGCGCACGCTGCATCACTTCTGGGGCTCGGCCAGGTCAGCCTCGAGCACGCGCAATCCGTCGACGGGCAGATGGACGGGAAAGCTATTCCGATCGGTGTCTGGCAAGACGGCGCCCCTGTCAATTGGGATCGCACAGTGAGCCTCGAGATATGCACTATTAGTCTGCCAGGTCAGTCGGGCGAGCGGAGGAACTTGCGTCTGCCTTTGACTGCTTTATTGAAGCACCAGATCGGCGAGCACACGATGGATGACATCTGCGACGTCATCGCCTGGAGTTCCCGTTGGTTGGGCCTGGGGAAGAAAAAAAAACACCCGCCATCGCGCCATGACAACAAGGCGTGGCTGAGCAATGACACGAAGAGGAAGCGCATGGTGGGGCAGGCGCCCCCTTGCAAGGCGGCGATGGCGCAAATGCGCGGAGATTGGAAAATATTCAAAGAACAATTCAAACTACCCCGCTGGGGCGAGAAGGAGGGCCGTAGCTTTCGGTGCTGGGTGAAACCAGAGGAAATCGCAGATCCGGTGGGCCTCTCAGCGCCCTGGCGGCAGAATCGGAAATCGCAGGGCGAAGTCATCGGCTGCATCTTGCGCAGTGGCTGCAGGGTGAACCCCTGTTCCAGGCGCCGTGCGTGAGCTCGCGCGTCATCAGGACCGATTGGCTCCACGCCGCAGACATGGGTGCCTCGGCAGACTTCCAGGGGGGGGCGCTGTGGCACCTGCAGACGAAGGTGGCGGACTCGACGGTGACGCAGAGGGCCTGCGAACTGAACGATCAGCCCCGCGAGCTCTACGAAGCGAATAACGCGAGGGACAGGCTGAGGTGCCTGGGAGCGCGCGTCATCAAGCGGGGCAAGAAAGCGCCCAAGCTGAATACGCAGGGCGCCCTGTGCAGCGCGATGGCCCCTTTCACCGCGAAGATGGCGGAGAAGCTCTGCGACCTCGGCGACACGCTGGACCAAGCTGCGCACAACCAGATGCACCACCTCAATGGCTACAAGGCTATCCGTGCCACGTCCGTGAGCGGACCAGGCATCCCGGCTGAGAACGCGCCCAAGTTCGCGCTCTGTTACGCGAGCCTGGCGAGGTTGAAGCCCACGCACTGGCGAGCGAAGCCCAAACTGCACGCCTGGCTCGAGGCGGCCGCCGATGGCGGCAAGCCCACAAGCGTCTGGCGCCACAGGGGCGAAGACTTCGGCGGGGGCCCCCGACGCGGGGCGCAGCCGAGGCAGCGCGGCAACCGCTTCTGGCGCCGGCCGCGGAGTGATCCGCGAGTTCGGCAGGCGGCCCATTATCCGAATGAGGTAGAGAAAAACTTGCGCGACGTGGGAGGGTGGAGGGATTCGATGGTCGGCGGGCTGGGGGGGAACGTAGGGGGGGGAGAGCGGGCCAGGACTCGCTACGCGTCCGCGCAACCTCTCTGCCCGAAGCATCCGACGCGACTGCCCCCCCCCCCGCCCGCACCGCGGTAGCCGTGCGGCCACTCTCGGGCGCCGTTCTGCTCGGCTGGCCGATCGCCATGGCGCCGAAGAAGCGGCCCGCCGCCGCGGGCAGCGCCGCGGCCAGCGACGAGGACAGCCCCGAGAGCGAGCGCAATGCAAAGGCGGCGAAGAGCCATGCGAAGCCGCCCCCTGCCGCGGCCGAGGGCCCGCCCGCGGCCGCGCTTCCCGCGTCGGAGGCAGACGAGGCCGCGGCGGGGGCCGACGCGGAAGACCAGGCGGGGGCCGAAAGGGAGGTCAAGCTCGAGGCAGCCAGCCCTCGCACGCATGCCCCAGAAGGCGCCCGCGACATGGATGCGTCGAACAGGATGCTGAGCGGCTTGCGCCAGCAGATGGCTGGCAAGGATCCTGAGAAGGCGGCGAGGGCAGCGGCCGCGCTGGATATGCACCACAAGCTGGGCTTGGAGGAGAAGGGGTCGACGCTGGAACGCTGCCGGGGGAACAAGACCCGCGGCAGCATGAAGTGGATCGACGACTGGATGGCGCAGCAAGGGCGACGCCGCCGCGGTCGGCTGGAGCGAGAACTGGCGCGGCCCCGGGCAGGTGCTGCAGCTTCTCGGCTTTAACCTTCGGGACTTTGAAACCCACGAAAACGCGCGGGCCCTCGTGGCCGAGGAGGTGCACCGCAACCGGGTGGATTCCGGCGCGCTGGAGCCCCACCCGCCCAAGATCGACGAGTCGAACTGGCCGATGTCTCGGCGCTCCTGGGTGGTCGACCAGGGGGGGGCCAGGAAGGCGGCCCCGCCCCCGCCCCCTCGCCCTCCCTGGGAGGGCAATGGGGACTGCGAGTTCTTAAGAAGGAGGGAGGAGGAGGGAACGAGGGAGGGAAGAGGATATCGGAGGGCAGGATCGAGGGGCGGGGGCGGGGACACAATCCTGGGCACCTGCAGGGCGGTCACGGGCAAGCGCGCCTAGCAATTTCAAACCCGCGCCTGCGACTGCAAGAGGGCCATCCATAGCGGGCGGCTCGAAATCCCCCTGGGCGCGCGCGGGGGCGGCGAGGCCAAGCAGGGGGGCGAGGGCAGCGAAGCGCTCGCGGCCGCCAAGCATGCGACCAAGGCCTCGAGGGCCTCCCGCGGGAAGGTCGACAGGCAGCTGAAGAGCCTGACCGCTATGAAAAGGCAGTTCTCTGTCAGGGCCAAGGAGAAGGCCATCGAACACTTGAGGAGATGTGCGAGATGCGCGCGAAGCAGCGCGACGACTGGCGGATGGCGGGCGACGAGCACGCGAAGAACGCGGCGACGGCCACCGAGATGCAGGGCGAACTGATGAGGGAGCCGTCAGACTGGAGTTAAGCCGTGCCAGGGGCTTTCTAGACGTCGCGAGGGGACAAACAATGGGACGGGGCCCGTCTCCTCCTCCTCCTCCTCCTCCCCCCCCCATCTTGCCCGCGCCCTCCTCCCCCTGCCCATGCCCCATGCGCCGCCTGCCCCTCGCCCCCCCCCCCCCCCCCCCCCCCCCCCCCCCCCCCCCCCCCCCCCGCACCCCGCCCCCATCGCGCGCGCCCCCCCCCCCCTCCCCCCGCTCTTTTTAGCGCCCGCTCCGATGAGCAGGTCGATCTCTTCGAGCAACTCGGGCCAGCCGAGTCGCCTATCATAAGGAAACGAATTCGCTGCGGCGCGCAGGGGCGCAGAAACGAAGTCCCGAAGCAAAGGGCTGCCATGTTCATCCAGGCGCCCCCTCTGGAAGCGTCGCGGCTCACTGCCTGGCCGCTCAGCCACGAGAGCACGGAGCCTGCCCCCGCCGTGGTGCTGGCGCACCTTGAAGGAGATCGCGCTCCCCACTGCCAACCAGCAACCACCGCGCGCGGGGCGCCACCACCCGTGCTCGCCCCGCGCCCACTCCGCCCCCGCCTCGGCGTTCACGCCCTTGCGCGCGGAGCACCGCGTCTCGCAGGAGGCGGACATGGCCAGCCGGAGGGCTTGTAGGCGCAGGCGCCGGCAGGCAGCCAAAAAAAACAATGGGGCCACACAGCAGCTATGGCCGGCGAAACTCCAACGGGGGCCGCCGCAGACCGAGGGGGATGGGGGGGATGGCGCGCTGGAGGCTCCTTAGCCGAGGAGCCCCCACCAGGCCCCCTTTGTGCAAAACATGTTTCGTTCGTGCACCTTTTCGCCAGGGGCCCCGCGCGCCCCCCGCCGCCCCGCCGCCCGACGCTGAATGAATTAGTTGCGCGATGCTGGGCGGCCGCTTCAGCCAGCCCAGTCGCGCTGTAGCGAACGTTCAAATGCAGGCGCAAACGGCGCATGTCCTCAGCGTTACATTCGCAGCCCTCGCGCGCATGCGGCGGGCAGGGGTCGGGCCACAGATGGCGGCCACGCGCGTGCAATGCGGCGGGCAGGGGTCGGGGCGAGCGATCGAGGGCAACACCGACGTGCACCGCCAGCTTCGCCGCCTGGCGGCGGGAGATAAGGGGCGCACGGGGAGTCGTCCGAGGGGCGGAGGAGGGCGGGGATGGGGGGCGCGCGGGGAGCGAGCGAGGGCGGGATCGATGGAAGGGGGGGGAGGGGGGGCGTGGCAGGGGATATCTTGCACGTGCACTGGTGCGCCTTGCAAAATTGCGAGAATTAACGTCTGTCTGCAATGGTTGTCGGCGCCGAGGCGCACCGCGCGGCGGCGGGGGGAGAAAGGTGACGAACGGAGCAAGGAGGGGGAACGAGAAGACAGGCGGAGGAGGAGAGGGGCAGGCGGAGGGAGGCAGCGGCAGGCGGATGGGGGACAGGCGCAGGCGGTGGACGGATGGGGGACAAAGGCAGGCGGTGGACGCAGAGGCAAGGCAGGCGGAGGGGGACAGGGGCAGGCGAGGGACACGGGCAAGGCGGATGGGGCGCCGACGGGGCTCCTTGGCCGAGGAGCCCCTGGTCGACGACGATGACGACGACCGGCGACGACGAGACCGAGAGCGCCGCCCCGCCCAGGGGGCGGTGGCGTTCGTGCGCGCCTTGCGCTGCGGCGCAAACAATTAAAACTTGATTCATGGATGCTGCCCGACAACACACGGGAACAACTTCCGTCGTTTCGCAATGCATATTGGGCCGATGTCAGCGGCAATCCCGTTTTTAATTTGAAATCATGTTGAGTGAGGTCTTGACTTTTCTGCGACTTATGTTGGGCGGATGCCAGGAGTGGTTTGCGTTTTCGGGATGGTTTCTCAAAAACGATACTGAAATTAGGGGCATCGGTTTAGGTAAGAAAACGTGCGGACAAGAAAACCGATCTATCTAGATCCGAAAACCTGGAAATGTCGATTTAGACCGTAGGGGGTCTAAATAAATCGGAAAAATCGAATCAGACAGCCTATCTGAATACAGCGGAACAGATTATCATGGTTACTGATCGAAAATAATTCAACTCTTGCGCCAACATTTCTCGATGGTTGCTCCATTCTGGTTCCCTTATCGTTCAACTGCTGCTCCATAGTTGCTCCGCGATGTCCTAGTATTGCGCCATAGTGGGGCAATGCTTGCTTCGTTATTGTTGCATTGCTGGCCCACTCTTTCGCGATTGTCACCTTTGCCTGGCTTGCGATTTTTGGCTTTGCGGGGATGCTACGTAGACCTCTCTACCGCTCCGCATTATTGAAATCATGGTGCCTAACCTTGCTTGGCTCCGCTTCCTCCGACAATTCCGAGGACCTCAACTTTTAAACAAACGGTCGTCGTGTTCTTTTGCAGGACGACGATGAATCAACAAGTGAGATATTTGAAAACAGAATAATGTCTGCGATTTCTATGAGAATTTTCGACGGGGGGGGGTGAATATTGAAAAAAATGTATACCACTCGTCGGCTTCGAATATTGCGTCGAATACTCATTTCACGTCGTCGTCAAATTCTACGTTGAATAATCATTCGAACTCGATTTCAAAGTTTACGTCCAGTGCCACTTCAACGTCGGCTTCACACTTTGTATGACGAATGCTCGTTCCACGTCCTTCCGCATACGGCAGGGGGGAACGATTAAAATCATAGTTTTCCAACCCGCGGCCGGTTTGTTCTAATCATCCTCCGGGGCGCCGCCGACGCAACACGACCCCCAGTCATTTGTTAATCGTCATCCTACATTGTTCGGGCCGCGTTTCAGCTATCGATTAACAAATGGACGACCGCTTCTATAATTTTGCGCGAAAAAGAATCGGCTCCAGCCGTGACAATGCCAGTTCCGTAACGACCACAAATGCCTGGTTTTTCTTTCAGAAAACGCGTAGCGCTGAAATCCGCCGACCCTCGCTTGCCCGGGGGTGAAAAAAGGCGTGGGAAACATTTGGTTGTCCCCCCCCCCCCCCCCTTTTTCCCTCTCCGGGTGAGGGGAACAGCCCCCACCGGGGCCTCCGGGGCCCCATAAAGCTCAGACAGGCCCCAGCGAGCCTAAAAGGCGCGCCAAGATATTCCAACAGAACGCTGGGGCGGCCCAGGGTAGCCTGGCGACGGCCCACGATGCTTTCGAAACGGCTCACGAAGCCCCCCGGGCGCCCCATGAGTGTTCACAGAAGGCTGCCGTGAGCGCCCCACGAAGCAAACATCGCCCTAATCCTTTTGGGAAGCGTACATTTTTAGCAGATTCGCCTTCCTTGTCTCCTCAGCGTCCAAGACACCCCCCCACCGTGCTCCAAAAATGGCCCCAAGACGGCCCGCACCAAGAGGGCCCCAAGACTGCCCCAGAGGGCCCAAAACGGCCCGATGGCCTCCCAAGACGGCCCAAGATAGCCCCAAGAGTCTGACCTGCGACCGAAGAAAAGGATGTTGAATTAACATGCGAAGCGTTTCCCGAAAAGATTCCCCCAAAACCCCCCAGAGGCTTCCAAAACGCTTCCAAGAAACTCCGCCAAAGCCGGAGACGCGCCGCAACGAGGCCCCCAAAGGCCTCATCCGTCGATTTCGTCCTTCCTGTGGGGGTCGGCGGCACGGCGTGAGCCCGGAGGCGCACTGCAGCCTCGCACACAAACTTTCAATAAACAAACACTTCAAAATGCAGGCGGCACCATAGCTTCCAATGTTGTTTCGGTTTTGCTTCTCTTACAGGGGCATCCGCACTTCCATCACTGATTGTCCGTCATACGTGTATTGCTTCATTATTTCGCCAGTATTGCTACAATGTCACTTCATCATTGCTCTGACTTCATCATTGCTCTAATATCATGTCATGCTGAATGCCCCATCATTGAATAAAGATTTCCCCATGCTCGATTGGACCTAACTTCGAAATTCCAGCGGAATGCGACATGGCGTAACTCTGAACTTCTACACGTACAAAAAGAATAGACACGATGCCCAATAACACAGTGTCCAAAACCGACAACGACCTCTGTTAGGCAGGCGGCCTTCTGTCTCAAATGGACAACGCCCTCGGCGGCACCACTAGCGAACTGTCGGTCTTCGTCACTACGCCTCCCGTACCGGTCACACCTATTAGAAACCTCTTAGTTGGGGTCCGACGTGATGCGTTGGGAAAATCCGGATGCATCGCCGATACATAATCGACGTCGGCGATGCAACGGATGGGCGACATCGACATGAACAAACCGAGCTCCACATCGAGCCGCATCGCCGATACATCATCGACGTCGGCGATGCAAAAGATGGGCGACGTCGACATGAGCAAACCGGGCTCCACATCGAACAGCATCGCCGATGCATCGAGGATGCGGCGCAATCCCCCGACCCATCTAATCGGACCCCATCTAGAAGGCCGAGAGACTTCGACACCACTAGAGCTGGCGGCGCGCACAACGGGGTTGGGGGAGGGGAGAAAACTTCTCAGAAGAAATTTGTTTCTACAAAGGCGCGGGCCTTACGACTATAGATAAGGACCGCGCCTTCTAGAAAGCAAGGGTGCTTCTGAAAAACTTTCCCCCTTACCCCTGCCCGCATCTGCGCGTGACTGACCAGGCAGCGGGGCCTTCGACACTCCACCGGAGGGCGCCCCTGCGGGCCGAGGCAGCCCTCCCGGCATAACGCCAGCCTGGGGCGGGGCGAACACGCTCGTAGGCGGCGGCGGCAACCTCCAGCGGCAACAACGACGCCGCCCGCAACAACGACAACGACGATGGCGATGGCGACGACGACGGTGACGACGACGCAGACGACGACGACGACGACGACGACGACGACGACGACGACGACAACGACCACGGCGGCAGCGGCGGCGGCGGCGGCGACGGCGACGACGACGACGACGACGATGACGACGACGACGACGGCGCGCTCGTGACGGCGGCGGCGGCTGGCGGCAGCAACGACGCCCGCAACGACGACGAAGGCGACGAGGACGACGGCGAAGACGACGACGCAACGTTG